CATTTGTATCTTTTGCTCTCAAATGCTTATGTAATTGGAAGAAAAGCTTAAACGTTGATCGTTTGGGAGTTCTTTGTACCCCGTGCTATCAGTTCATATAGATTATAGAAATAACTTCTAGACAACTCGAGAGCGATCGGGATGAGCTGGAAGCTCTACGTGACATGGATGATCAGATGATGGAGGAACAGAAACTTGTGGAAAAAGCCCTTCTTGGAGAAATCGAGGGTCTCCATGTGAAAATTAACGAGGCACGTTAACTGATAAATTTTGAATGATGAAAGTTTCAAAAAATGAATTGAAGCTTCAACAACGAATGAAGCAGGAAGATATTCATCGTGAGGAGTTAATTTCAACGATTATGAAGTTTCGAAAGAAGGTTGGCGAACAAAATGAGGAGATTCAAGATCTAAAGGACCAGGTAAGAAAATTGCACGTTATGACTTCTGAATCACAATAACAGTGTTATCTATGTCATAATCGGTTCTCATCTTTTCTAGTTGAATATCATGAATGTCTTTAATCAGGTTCTGAGATATCAGGAAGAGCTCACAGGACAAAAATCCGAAGAAAACAACATAGCCAGCATTGTCAGCCAGATGCAAGTGAATGTGAACAGAACTTTTGCTGAGGTCCATCTTCTTCTGAGAATTTTGAAGAAAATATCTTGCTAAAACAGTGTGTCATCCTATCTATAAACCACGTTTACAGTCGGTAGAACGTCAAGTTTCTGCCGTTGAGGTGGAGTACGCTAGGAAACAGATGGGCTATCTAAGGCAGTTCCTGCCTGATAACTTTACGAAGGCTGGAGGTAACTTTCATGTTGTTGCTTCAAGGCTGGTTTTTTATGGTTTGTGAATTAAGGGGATAATGATGCTGTGATTTTGAATGTGCTGTTCCCACGACTATCAGCGAAGGCAAAATTGTTAACAAAACTCATGGCAGAACGGGTAAAAATAAATTACCTTTTTGCTCTTATAAGGTAGTTAACTTGTCGAATCTTAGTTTCCTGGAGTGCCAGGAGGCACACGTCGAGAACATGTCACTAAGTCGCACAAAGCTGAGCAGTGGGCTCATTCTGCCAGAATTGCTCATATCATGAGTGCTCTCGTTGCTGTGTGTGGCCAGTTCGAGAGGTGAGCCTTTATTCGAGCATTGTGGTCACTCTGTTGCTAATTATCTTTGCTCATGCACGAGACCTCTTAATTTTACTCGAAAATATACTGTGCTATTTAAGCGGCTTGCAGCTTTGGCTGAGCTTCTTGGATTTTCTCTTTCGAAAGTTGCAAAATCAGATTGTTTTCAATCTTCAGTTATCTGCTTCTTCCTTGAATAATACTTCTTCATACGTCCATGTCACCAAAAACAAATCAGTGCGTATTTTGCGGCTCTTCATCTATAAAATTTCAGTGCACTTGGGAACATTTCTTTGGAGGACTTATCACGATTGGCTCAGCTTCAACCGGAAATGACCTCACAAGAAAGAGTTATCGATGGATACTTAGAGTTACTAAGGCAAGCTAGGCTAGATGCAGAAACTTCTCTAGAGAATATGGACAAAGTTGTTACATACTTTCAGGTCTGAGCTTTTTTCTAAACTTTTTTTTTTGCAATTCATTAGTCTTTTTGCAGAATGTTTTGTCAGTAAATGTCAGTGCCGATAGCTATAACACTTGTGCTTGGGTTCAAAGCGTTTACCAACAAATCATGACTGGTATCACGTGGTGTAAAGTAAATATGCAGAGGCTTTCCTACTATCTGAAGGTAAACATCGTAGATTCTGCTTTGTCCGATGTGCGTGGGATCCCCAATTTTATTGTAGCCTGGTCAGGAAGAGTGTGATTTTGCGGATTTTGTGAGAACATTCGGTAATGAGCTGGCTCAATGTGAGCAGTTAGCTATAAAAGGTGGAAAAGCCGTCCCCACTGATAAACAGCTGAAGCTGACACCACAGGTAGGTTGAAGTAATTTTAGCTAGGAAATCACTGTGAACTTCCATTTTCAGGCGAGCGATGATATTCAGTCCGCACTTTTACTTTTACACAAGATTGCATCTATTCTTAATGAAACCTGTGGAATAGCAAGTGTTCAAATCAACATAAATCCAGGTGAGAGCGCAAGTTTCTAGTTTCTCACTTCCTTGAAAAGGAACATTCATGATTCAGCATTGAGTAGCATTCTGTATATCTCGTGTAAATCTTGGTAGAAGCAAAACTTGGCCCTTCTCGTCGCATCACTTCTGGGTGTAGACGGAAAGTGGGCGATACATGTCGCCTATACCTGCTTTGAGAATTCAACTATAACAGTCATCTCGGTAGCAGATTGCTGCGCGTGCGAAAAAAAAAGAGGAATCTTTTATTCCTAATGCAGTAACGTTTCCAGAATTGGATGGTTTTGATGCAATGAGATTAAAAGAAATGATGCATGGCGAAGTTGAGAAGGC